GTAAAAGAAAATATGAGAAAAGTAGAAGACTGGTCATGAAGATCCATTATCCCAATAAAAGGAGTTTGAGAAAGGTTGAAAAAAAGGGAGAAAATGGAAAGAATCCCAGAATTATGAAAGAAAATAATCCCAGAATTAAAAGATGCTTCCAGGCTGAAAGGTCATGTCAAGTACTCAGCACAATGGATGAAAACTGACACAACACTAAGACCCTTTCATTGTAAAATTTCAGAACACTGGAAACAAATATAATCTTAAGGGTTTTCAGAGATTTAAAAAATGAAAAGACAGAAAGAAAGAGAGAGTAAACAAGGGGAAAATAAAGAAAAACAAACCACATACATACAGATCACACACAATATACAAGGAATCAAAACGGCTTCCAACTTATCAAAAGCAATATAGAAACTAAAAAGCAACAGAGCAAAGCTGTAAAATAATACAATCAAACAAGTGTCAGGGAAAACTAAAACGATTTTAAAATGTCAAGTAAACCAAGAATAAACATGACATCTGTCACTGGAAAATGGAGATCTAACCACAGGAGAAAATGAAGAGAATCCCATGATAAAACTTGTATACCAAGTCTAGAGTGCAATCGGTCCACAATGGAAGTCTAAGGGATAAAAGAGAAATTTCCTCAGGAAGACAAAATTGATAACAATACCTGATATATCTGAACACTTGAGTGATATCTGATGAAAAATTGAATTAGTCATAACTATACAGAAAATTAGAAGGTGTGTTGGGGAGGGAACTAGATGACAATGAACTCCAGCCAGATCAACCTATCTGTGGCAAAAATCAACAAGTCATACTAAGAATTTATCAGTTCTTTATGCACTTAAGTGCAAGCAGAAAACCAAGAATCACCAGACACCTGAGAAAAGACTTGATCACAAGAGGTAAAACCCAAAACACACAAAAATGGGACAAAAGGCAACTTGATACAAACAGATTATGCAGATACATGAAAATTTGGTGATGCAGGGGGAACAACTCACTAACATTTTATATGCTAAGTAGTATACAGAAATATGTATATACCACATAGAGTAGTATACCGTGTTTACTAGATAGCTGTGGGATGGGAGAAGGAAGGCAAGGCAGGACATTGTAGGTGATTTAACAACAGTTAAATCTTTACTTTTATCCAGGAAGTTAATAAAGCCCAAAACAAAAAACAACAAGTATTTTATTTAACACATATTTATATAGGGCATATGAATTAGACACAGTTCTAAGGGTTTTCCGAATTCCCTTAATTCTTGTAACAAACCGATGAGATAGGTACTATTAATCCCTACTTTTTTAAATGAACAAACTGAGACAGAGGGGTTAAGTAGCCAACATTACATAAAACTAGTAAATGACAAACCTAAGCATTCTAATTCCAGAGTCCATGCTCCTAACCAATATGAGTTATTTAGAGACTACAAAGTAAATATCACAATAATCATTTAAAAGATGTGAAAGTAATTGCTTCCAGGAAAGGGAAAATGGAAAGGAAGGGGACAGGAAGCTTTTGTTTGATAACCATGCAAATTATTTGACTCTTTGTGCAGGAATACCCTAAATATAATGAAAACTCATAAATTAGTATTTCACAGTTGAAGTATTTTATCTGATGCTAACATTCTCAGAAGTGGGCAAATGAGTATTATCCCTATTTTATATTGTAGGTAACTCACCCCTCTTTAATAAATATTTGAGAGCCTACTATATTTAGAAGATCAGTATCAATTCAGCTCAAGGAATGATGAAGTAAAAGAGGTACAAAAAGTAAACTTTTTTATTCATTTCTTTTCAATCTGTTGCATAAATTATATGATCCTGTATCTCTAACAGTTGTGCTTAAGATGAGGCAATATAAATTTTAAATCATGATAGGAGAAACAGAGAAAGTTCTGTTCACTAATTCATTCAAAAATATTTAGTTTTTGCCCTTGAGGAACTCACAATCTTGAGGAAAACACAGGTAAACATAAATTGAATGTGCTCAGTGCCTTACATGGGGAATACTAAAAAGTGCTAGGAAAACAACATTCCCTGGGTAAAGAGAATGCTTCAGAGGTAACATCTGAGCTGTTTTGAAGGATGAATAGAAGTTTGAACAATTTCACTAAGAGGCTATACTAATAATCACAATACACAAACATCAGCGTTAAATACCTATCTTCCCCTGTGTTGAAATGGTTAAGTTCATGCTATAGACTAAAATAAGACATTAAGACTTTTTCATTGAGAATGAACTTTTAAAAACAAGATATAATTTAGTGTCTGATCCATGTTTCTTTACAGTCTCTGCCAGCGGCCAACTAAAACATTTTCCACGTGTCTAACAAACATTTCTTTACATTTTTTTTATATTTAAAATGTTGAGCATTATTTCAAAAGATGACTAAAAAATAACTCCTGATTTGTCCTACCAATGAAAAGTTTGTTAACATGTTTTCTAAGTCATAATATTTATTATAATGTACCCCTTTCTCCATGAGAGACTAACAGATGACCAAACCCAGAATAAGCAAGTGATACACAAACTAACATGAGATGAAAAGGTAGAAAGAATTTTTTAAATCATTATCATTTTTTTCTCTTGTAGATATTCTCAAATCCTCTTCCAAAGTAAAATTTAAATAAAACATTTCTTTTTCCAAACTATAGTGACAAAAGAAATAATCTGCATAAAACAAAATAAAGAAAATAATATACATATTTAGCTTTTCTGACCTTTACAGGTATTTTGGGGATGAAATATTTTCATTTTTCAGAACTTAAAGGATAACTCTGAAACAAAAATTTTCAAGATTTGATGCCTTAACTTTTATGTTAACTTAACAAAGGCTCAAATATGTCGTAAACTGAAAACAGGTACAGTTAACTCAAGTTACTTAATACCAGTATTTACTCTTATTTCTCAGTATCTTTTTGTCCCTTCAGTTCCAATCCTTTCTACCTAATTTGTCCCTCATTAATCTTCATCTCCATTACAATGTGGAAAATTTATTTTTGTACTAATACCTTAAACTGGGACTTTATCCCTATAGTTAAAAACCTGGTTGAAGGTACCAACATCTGACTTTGTCTGGAAAAGCAAGATGTGGAAAATTCTATCAAGCCCTACCACCAGAAGGAAAAAAACAGCAAGTCATGCCAGGAAACCACATGGTAATTAACAAAAATCATGGTAGGTCTGAAGTCAAACTGTTCAGTTTTCATTTACATATTTCACCAGTCTTTCTTTTCTCTAAATTTACCACCCATACAATATACCTGTTTTTATAAGGACTTCACCCAGATTACACCCTTTAAATTTAGAAAACATTAATATTTGGGGTAATAATCTTTAAAATTATATCTGAATATTAGCAATTATAGATGAATATCAGCATGATATAAAATTAGAGGTTTAACAATTATAATAGGCTATTAATGAAACTATCTCCTACAAAAGGTCTACTAAAGAAGTACAATTTAAAGTACCTAAAACAATACATTTGGTTAGGTAACAAGATTTTAATTATATGGCTATTAGAAAAATAATTAAAATCTTGCAAAACAAGATTTTAAATTCTTTCAATAAACCACGTCTTTTATCTTCTTTTAAGTAGCTAAAAAAAGTCATGAAAACCTTACTGAAACATTTGGTCATTTTACTAAAATGGCAATTCTTTTGAAATACGCTAAACTTTCAAAAGTGAAAACCACAAATATACATTTAGAATATAAATTTTCCTATTAGTTTTTGAAAGTTCAATCACAAACTAACACTAAAATAATTAAATATCTTTCAAGCTTCTCAAAGTTCCTCAGGTCCGTAACTCCTGTATAATTTGATCAAGGTTAGTCAGACTGGCAAATCTGTTAAGACACTCCTTTAAAGTCAACTTATTTAAAGCAATGTAGAATCATGAGCTATTTCACAGCTTTTCTAGCCAGTCAGCTTCAAAGACAATTTGATTCTGTAAGTGTGATTAGCACGTTATTTCTAATTCAGTTAAGAAAACATTAGTTTAATAACGTATTCTAGGTTTTATTGGGCTTTTTGGTAAGTAAAGGGAACAGGTGGAGTAGATTAGCAAAACAAACTCTTATTTTCATATCTCTATAAATTCAATCCCCTAAGACTTATGTATTTTGCCATGTATAATGTGCTCCCATTTATAATGTGCACCCACAGTTTTGTGTGCTTTATACATGGGATAAACGTACCCATTATTATGCACATGGTTTGTAATCATTACACACGTATAATGCACATCTTTATTTTTCCCTCAAAACTTTGGGCAAAAAAGTGTGCATTATACATGACAAAATGCAGTACTTTCTTCACTCTTTTAAAATGGCTACCACCGTGATCTACTATGCAAAAGTAGAAATGTACAGCTTATTACCATCAAAAACAAATCTGATTATTTTGACACTGTATGTCCTCCAACCCAAAAAAAATCCCTTAAAATTCCTATTCCTCCTTTATCGTTCACATAAAATAACTATTAAATAAGTACACAAAAGTTGGTTAATTACAGTTTGATGGCAAACTATATAACACAGATTAGGACATCTATCTTATAATGTCTGACTAGGAAAAGCAGGTAACAGTATCTTCCACACACTAAGATCAAACACAGTAGAACTGAAAAGGATTGTCCAGTCAAGGAAAAACAAATGTGGGAACCATATCCCTCCCAGGAGATTATCATAAGGATTTTACTTATTCAAAAGAACAGATTAATTATTATGTTGGTTAATAATGTAACTTGGTTATATTATTAACCAATATAATTATTATATTGGTTAATAACTTTCCCTTCAAAATCTTTTTTAAAAAGCATTTTATAAATAATAAAAACCACTTGGTGCTCCCAACCCTATTCTTAATATGCTCAATAACTATTTTGTCAAATGTTTATATATTACTTATACCATTTACATATGTAGCTACTAAATAAACTCTGAATCTGTTGATTGTCTGCAGAAATATGGCATAATCTTACCTCTCATCCTCGCCATCCACCAGCGGTAGCACCTTCAACGGGAAAAGAGAAGCAGAGGCTGCTAGGCTGCTGCTACTCCCATCTGAAACTGCTGACATTCCCCCACTGTCACCACAGATAGTCTGAGGTAAGCCAACTAAGGAGGGTTCCGCAGGGCGCCTGGCATCTTCAATTTGGCTTCCAATTGCCTGAGCTAATGACTGTGCAGAGAACTGAGAATTTAGTGATATCTGTTGTGCCAAAGGCAAATTTACATTAGCTGCTATGGAGGGAGGTTGACTAACACTTTGAATCATGTTACCATTTTGAGTGGCAGGGGGTTGTGCTATATTCTGTGGTGGAACCACGTTTGTTGGGGCAGAAGACAATCCAGAAGGACCAGCTGAACTAACCTGATTTGTAACAGAAATACTACTAGCAGAGGGTACAGGACTAACTGCAGGCAACTGCTGTGAAACAACTCCTTGAGCTACTGATTCTACTCCTTGTGGCTGGGGAGGCACAGTTAACAAGGTACTTTGGGGTGCAATGACCAGTTGTTGAGGAAGGCTTGAAACACTAGTTTGAACTCCCTGATGAAGAATTGCAGTCTGAGCAGGTGGAACTATTTGTGAAGATGGAGGAGCACCTTGCTGAATAACTGCAGGTGTGACTTGGGAAGAGGGCTGCTGCACTGCAGTGGGTACATTTGCTTGTTGACCAATATTTGCAATTTGACTGCCAGCAGGTACAGCAGATACTGCTGTTTGAGCCTGGCCAACAGGCTGGCCAGATGCCCCTACAGGTTGTGCTTGGACTGCCACAGACTGCACTGGCAGCTGGATACTCTGTGGCTGAGCCATAGGAATCACTGTTGTTCCTGCTCCCACTGCTGCAGAACTGGGCTGACCAGCGGACACTGCTTTTTGAAGGCTTGGCTGCTGCTGTACAAACTCAGAAGTAGAAATTTGAGTTGGTGGTTTACTGTGACCTGGAGCCATCTGTGTGGGAACAGTTGATTGTTGTCCATATTGTAACTGTTGGGATGTTGCCCCTGGAAGGGGAGCTTGTACAGGAGGAGCCGTCTGAGAATATGGCAGTTGGGGCTGAGCCAAACTAGAAATGGAAGGCTGCTGACCTAAAGTTGAAGTTATTCCAACCACATTAACAGGTGATGGCTGAATACCAGTCACAGCATTGATAGCGGCTTGCAGAGGAACTGGTTGAACACCTTGCTTTTGCTGATAGCTCAGTTCTTGAGACTGTAATTGTACTTGTGAGATCTGTGACTGAGAAACACTCTGTGGTATACTAACTGCTGAAATACTCTGAGGACCAGTGCTACTGAAATCCATCTGCTGAAGGGCCAAACCTTGAAGAGCTGGTTGTTGCTGCTGCTGTTGCTGCACCACCACAGTAGGGGCTCCCATCTCTCCACTTCCCACACTCTCTGTGTAGTGACTCAGTGTGCTGACACTACTGCTCACTGAACTCCCACTAGTGCTCTCCCTCTCAGAAGTCACTTCTATTGGGTTTAGTTTTACAGTTTCCACCACTTTATTTATCACACTTTCTGCAGCAGGTACAGCATTCTCTTTTTCATAGAACTCAGTGCAAGTCCACCTACCTTTTTTAAAAGGTTCAGAACTAGAATCTAACTTCACAACTCTGAACCTTGAAGTGTTAATTGTTGGCTGTTGTTGCTGACTTGAAACTGATCCCACAGCCATCCCTGCAGCTGCATTAGGTACACTGTTAACAACAGCAGAAGAAAGAGTACCATTGCCCATGCCACTCAAGATATTCACATTAACACTGCTATTAACTCCAGGCCCAACACTCACACTAGGAGCACTAGAAATATTGCTTGGGGTTATATTAGCATTACCAAGCACGTTGCTTGTCACATTAGGATTAAAACTACCCACAGCAGTAATGGTAACATTATTCATCGTATTAGTGCCAGTAACAGAATTTACTCCTATACTGCTGGTAGTACTGGGAGCACGGATATTAGTCATTACAGATGCAGGTGAGCCACCCGATGATGCAGCAGAAGTTGGTGCAGCTGGTATAACACTGTCAGAGCTTCCAGTTGTGGAGAGTTTTCTGGATATTGGGCTTGAGGGTGGCCCTCCAGGAATGGATGTACTGGCCACACCAGCGTGGGATGGGTGGTGGTGCCCATGGTGGAGGTGGTGCCCATGATGAATGTGATGGTGGTGATGAAGATGGTGTGGATGAGCATTCCCATTAATCACAACATTCTGTTGTGGAAGGTGAGGCAAATGAGGCTGTGGAAGGTGAGGCTGGTTGGGAGAGACTGCCCCAGGTGTCTCAGCTTCCTGGAAGTTATTAAGCGTCTCTTCTGAGGAACTGCGTTCAGGTTCCCCTAAGTCAGTAGCCCTGGAAAGTGATACATCAAGGATCTCGGAAGACGAAAGATCTTCTGTGTGAGACTCATCCAGATCATCATAGCTCTCAGTGTCCTCTGCTATACTGTTGTTAGAGCTGATGCTGGCGGAGATCTGGGCCGGGGTAACACTAGTTATCTGAAAGCCACTTTTCTTTTTCATTTGAGTTCCGCCTGGTGCGAGAGGCTGTGTCTGCAGCTGAGCCTGCGAAAGGAGGTTCAGGCTTTGTGGAGGCGGAGGCTGTGGTCCCGACGTACAAGATGCTGCAGGAGGTGGCGGCTGAAGCAGCGACAGAGGCGGAAGATCCTCGGAAGATGGGACATTACTAACAACGCCGGTACCTGCTGCAATGAGAGCAGAGGCGCTGCCACTGCCGCTGCCCCTTCTTGGGAACATCGCCGGGTGCGCCATCTTCCTAGCACTAATGTCTGCAGCGGCCGCGGCAGACTCAGGCGGCTGGTGCATTGTGTTGGGTACTGGGACGGAGAAGGCGAATGCCAATTTCCTTCTGCACGGTAATCTTTGTACTCAAGACGCAGGGAGGAAAACCAGACCTGACGCTTCGCCCGGCGCGATCCCTCCTTCTCTCCTCCTCCTCTTCAGCGGAAGGCACCCGCTGCTCCTGCCTTCGAAGGCGAGCTTCAGGAAGGGAGGATGAACGATGGTGAACAGGGCTGCCGAGGACCTGAAGGGGGAGGACCCCTTCAGTCCTACACCATTCACTTTCCCCTCTAAATATTAGCCCCCCCCCCCCGCTATATTCCGCTTCACGTGGGGTGTGGGGTTGTAGGGAGGGGGGAGACAAGCGGAGGAGGGAGACCAGGAGAGGGCTGGGAAAAAACAAGAAATGCCCACCTTCTCCGGACTACTCAGAGGCCACCTCAAACCCTCCTCCCGCCGCTCCAGTGGCGGTGGCTACTGCAAAACCTTCCCAGTGGCTCTGCACGAAGGCAACGCAAAGCGAGTGTCGCCTTCCCCTTGCCACCCCCCCGGCTCCGCTGCTGCGCCGGCAAGCCCCGAGCTCAGTGTCGCTCAAACCTCCCCTCTCGGCCCTGCGGTCCCCACTCGGCCCTCCCCCCACACCCCGCGGACCCTTTCAAACCCCCTGGGCTCGAGGTGGCTGCTCCGGGAGGAAACGGTGGCCAAGACTGGGGCTCGGACGACGAGGCTCCAAGCAGGGCGGTGGTGGGGCGCCCGGTACGGTGAGCCCAGCAACGAGGAGCGGGCGGGTGCGCAGAGACGCCAGGTTCTCGCGGAGTACGGCCAGGGTGCGGCAGCGGGAGCCCAGGGACCGCTCCATCACTGGCAGCCATGGAGCCCGAGCATTTTCCTCCCTCAGGCAGGCGCCTCTGCTCAGCACACGTCCTCGGGGAGTAAGGGGCCGGCGCTGGAGCCTTTACGAAGGGCGGCGGGACGTGCGCTAGCGTGGAGGGTGTGAGCTGCTCCTATCCTCTTCCTCCGCAGCCGGTCGTCCTCACCCCGCTGCTCTCGAGGCCAGGGTGGGAGGGGGCCACAAGCGGCAGCTGCTCCTTTCTCAGCAGCGGTGGTGGCCAGACGTGCTGGTGCAGCGACTGCAGCCGATGCCGTTCAAAAAAGGAGAGGTGGGGTTGATCGGTGTCGGCCAACCGGGGGCGGGTGAGCGCGGGGGAGGGCAGCGGGCGGGGAGGGGGCTGAGGGGGTTGTTACTAGTGCTGTGCTCCCGCTTCACTGTATCACCCGTCTCTCGCGGCATTGGAAGAGGAGGGACCAGCGCCTGAGCTCCGGAGGAGGAGGAGGGGCGAACGTCAGCCGCAGAAGGCGGCGGTGGCGGTGGCTGCGGGGGGGAGAGGGCCAGCCTAGGGGAAAGAGGAAAGATGGCGTCTGCGCATGCGCCCGGGTGCCGCAGACATAAAGCCGGTCCGGCAAAGAAGGAGGCGACGGGTGTTCGGACCTCCGCGAGAGCCTGGTGTCCGGACGGAAGTAGCCGAAGGCTGGCGGAGGGCGGAGGCGCTGATGCCTTGGGGTGGGTGGGTGGGGAATTTCGGCTGGGGGAGCGAATCCGGGTTGGCCTCTGAGACTCTGCCTGAGTGGGGGTGGGGCAGGATGAGGGGGCGCGCATGTTAGGTGTGTCTGCTCTTTTTTCACACGCAGCTGTGAGCGCGCATGCGGGAGTGAAGGGAGCGGGAGCGAAGGGAGCGCGGCCAGGAGGTTGTTGGAGCTCTAGGTATCGGGTGTACGCGCCCTGGGTGGTGCCCCCCCCCCCTGCGGAATAAATAATGAGGCTTTTCTCCGCAGCAACAGCATCACGAGTTTGGTTCCCAGGAGCCCGCCGCTGCCACTGCCACTGCCACGACATGAGTCAGGCTTTCTTCCTCCACTCGTGAGAGAGCCTTCCTCTCTTTTGCGCACCTGGATTCTACCCGGGCCACGCTGCCCTTGTCCCCATGGAAGATGATGCCGGAAGATGATGCCCTAGCGCTGGAGCTGCAGGGTCCACGGAAGGCTGGTGGCTCCTCACAAAAGGTGCTGCCTTTTGTGCTGTGCAGTTCGTCGCTGCCTGGCGGTCCCCCCACCCTTGACTGGCAGAGGCCAGCCAGCCCCATAGATATTGCAGCCGTTTGCAAGATAAATTGCCTAAGCTCCCTGTGGGGGGTGAGTTCTTGGAAATGGAGTGCTTGTCATCCACCCTTACCTGGAGCAAAGAAGCCGCAGGCTCTGTAAACTAGCTAACCTCAACAGGTGGAGCTTTATCTCCAGCAGGAATGTCTTTTGGTTTCATTGTCCAGGCTGTAACCCCCGCAGGTTTGACTTAGAAGACAAAGTTGCTTATTCAGGTTGCAACACGAGTGCAATGATAAGGGAAGACTCTTACCATTCTAGAAAAGGAATGAGCGGTGGCAATTCCAGTTTAAAAACCTGCTTGAGACTGTTTTAGTTCTACAGAGGCAATGTTGCATTTTGATTAGAGGCAATTTACTGGAAGTTGCTTCCCTGGCATTAACATCTTAAAACATTGTAACTCTAAACACTTTTTTACCACGAAGCGAAAATGTATTTCTTGATTAAAAAACAACAAAGCAATATGACAAACCCTAGAGAGAAATTTTTATTTTTTAAATTTAGATTCTAAACTTTAGGATCTAAACTTTAGTTTCTAAAAGTTTTAGGAACTAAACTTTTTTGTTTTAATTTAGTGATTTTAGAGAGAGAGGGGAAGGAAGGGAGAGAGAGAAGCATTGATTTGTTGTTCCACATATTAATGTATTCATTGGTTGATTCTTATATGTGCCCTGACTGGAGATGGAACCTGCACCTTTGTGAGACAGACACTCTAACCAACTGAACTACGTGGCCAGGGTTGAACGTTTATGGTTAGACCTGATTAACTTTCACAGCTTAACAGATATATACAACCCTATTTCAGGAGTGTATTAAAGCATAAACAACTGTAGCTTTTTGCAGAGTTTTGATACAAGTCTGTCAAATCAACATGTTGCCTCTAGGTTTCTCTAAACTTCCCCCCCCCCCCATTAATCTCTCAAAAATTCACATCACCATTCTCTTACACTGTTGAGTAGAAATACATCCTCAATATCCCATGTAATCCTGTATCAGAGCTATGATATATTGTTGCTTTTTCTGTGCCCCCCCCACTAAGCCCAAAAAGCAGGACTACATTTATTTTTACTTTAAATTGTCTATGTGGAGCTCTGTGCTAGATGCAAAATTATGTGCTCATAAATAGTGAAAGGGATATGTAATAAAAATGAAATACATTTGTACTTGTTTTGTGATATTTGCATGTTAATCTGTGAATGATTGTATTTTTAAAACTATGAGCATTTATTGTGTTTTACAAAAATATAACTTCCTTTTTAGTACCCCCAAAACTTTTGATTCATACGATATGCCTGTAATGGTTGCCATCCATTGCTGAAATGCAAATCTGACATACTTTTTCAATAGTTTTTGAATAGAAAATAGAAACTATCCTAACCAATTGAAATTGCCCTGGAATGTAGATAAAACTACAGTGTAAAAGAAAATATTCTTGGTCTCTCAAAATGTTGCCTTAGGTAAGAGTTTTAAATTACCCCAAACAACAGCTCAACACCCCCTGGGGCACCTAAGTACCTTTTATGTTCCTGCTAATATCGTTAGAAGCAGAAGAAACTCACATAATAAAGTTTTACCCAAAGTTGAAGGAACGAGTTACCAGAATGAGCCTATAAAAACATATTTATTCTAATAACCAGGAGCAAAGGGTATTGTTGTTTGGCTGTTTTGATCTTGGGGGTGTTACAGAACAGACAAGGGGGGCCTGGGACAATATACTATTATTGAAAGAAGGCCCCGGGTCCGTTATGTCCGCTGCCCTAGGAAAGACGTCTCTCAATGCCAGAGATTTGTGAAAAGGAAAGAAAATGTTTATTTAATGCTATACAGACTTCAAGTAGTGACCTAATGTCTTCATCAATAATCCCAAAGTCCCTTAAAACACCCACAAACAGACACAGTCCTTCCTTCCTTCCCCCTTTGCCCAGTCCAGAGTACCATATCTCAGGAAAGGAAAACGAAGTCCATGGCTCAGACAGTCCTCTGGTTCTTAGTTAGTCCTCCATCTCAACTGGGAGACCTCCCTGGGTTCCCGGCACCCTCGGCTGAGTCGCCGGGATCTCTGCTAAAACCAGGTGGTGGTTCCCCTTCTAAAGCTGTGGGGGTCCCCACTCTGTCCAGGCCTCGTGGTTCTCCCTCTCAGGGCTGCGGGAAGGGGAGAGTCCCCACTCTGTCAAAGCCGCGTGGTTCTCTCTCCTAAAGCAGCACGGTTCTCTCTGAGATGCAAGAGTCTCCACTCCGTCAAAGCCGCGTGGTTCTCTTTCTCAGGGCTGCGCATGGCTCTCCTTTTCAAGGCAGCATGGTTCTCCTTCCTAAAGCACCATGGTTCTCTCTCTCTGGGATGTGCATGGCTCTCCTTCTCAGGGCTGCGCATGGCTCTCTCCCCTAATGGCCGCCAAGTCTGGGTTTTAAATCTCCGCGGCCAATCTTCCTCTGCAGCCTCATTTCCGACTCCTCCCACACTCAGCTTCACATGCCAGAGCTCATATCCTTCCAGCTTTACTGGGCTGCCATCATGAGTCTGGGCAGGTGTGGCCCCATGTCATGGAGCCAATCTTCTCTGAGCTCCCACGCAGGCGCTGTAGCTTGGGGGATCTGCCCCCAGTCACGTCTTGGTGGGGAAGTTACTTCCATTCCCCTGGCTCAGAGATGATCACAGCTTTCTAACATATCTAAGCAACCAGCCAAAGGCTATAGATATGTTAAATGACCACACCAGAGGGTAGCTGCAAGGTTGTTGCTATGCAAAACAGCTCTCAATGGCCCTGCTCCATTTGTCCCTTCCCCCAACCCACACCCTGGGTGGGGGGGATGGAGACATCTTAAAATCTCCTGGACACCTTAAGTTCTGGACCCCATTTCAAATGCCCATTTGGGGTCCCCCCTCTTGGCTGCACCCTGTAACAGGGGTAGGAATATTATTTCTTTTAAATTAAGAGTTTTGTTAAAACAAAATTTTTCCACAACACAAGAAAATACGGTCTTTTCAAATGCATTTCATTTTTGTTTGCCATATCACTTTCAGATTCCTGTTTCAGCTCCATCACATTCCACTAAGACATAAAGACCAACTCTGCAGTTATGAAAACCTCACTTTGAAAAAACAACTCTGAATGCATGCATATGCATGTGCGTCTTTCTCCAACCCCTCTTTCTAGTTGCCACCATTTCCATGACCAGCAATACCCGGATACAAGTACATTAAAACAGAAGCACTTAAACAACCAAGTGATACCGTATTACCACCATTTAATTTATAAAGACTTCATTTTTATATTAATATTAAATGCCTACTGCTATGTGTAATGAACTCATAAATCCTTTAGCCCAGTACTTAGAGTTATCCTTTGCCTTTTGAAAGACTGAATTTCACCTGTTACATTCTGAAGGTATAGCCCTGATTAACTCTGTTAACTAAGAGATTAATGTGTAGTGCAGTGTTCACTAAAATCCAATTATTGTGACATTGCAAACCATG